TAAGAAAATAACTCTATTTATAATAACATAAAAAAAGAATATTTAGGACTTCCCTGGTGGTGCAGTGGTTGAGAGTCCGCCTGCCGATGCAGGGGACACAGGTTCGTGCCCCGGTCCAGGAAGATCCCACATGCCGCGGAGCGGCTGGGCCCGTGAGCCATGGCCGCTGAGCCTGCGCGTCTGGAGCCTGTGCTCCACAATGGGAGAGGCCACAACAGTGAGAAGCCCGCGTACCGCAAAAAAAATAAATAATAATAATATTTAGGAATAAGTCAACAAAAGAAGTGCAAAACATCTACCCTGAAAACTGCAATACTGTTGAAATAAAGAAAATCTAAGTAAATGAAAAACATCCCATGTACATGTATAAGAATACTAAACATTGTCAAGACAGCAACTCTACAGATTTAACTCATTCCCTATCAGAATTCTGGCTGGCTTCTTTGTAGAAACTGAAAAGCTGAATTTAAAATTCATATGCAATTGCCAGGGGCACAGAAGAGCCAAAACAATCTCGAAAAAAAAGAATAAAGTTGTAGGACTCCTACTGCTGATTTCAAAACTTATCATAAATCTATAATAATCAAGGCAATGTCATACTGGCATAAGAATGGACATATAGATAAATAGAATAAAATTTAGACTCTGGAAATAAATCCACTTGTCTATGGTAAACTGCATGTTGAGAAGGGTTACAAGACCATTCAATGGAGACAAAATAGTCTTTAATAAAAGGTTCTGGGATAACTGGATAGCTACATGCAAAAGAATGAAATAGACCCTTACCTTACACCATATACAAAAATAAACTCAAAATAAATCAAAGACCTAAACATATGAGCTAAAACTGTACAACTCTTAGAAGAAAACCAATGAATGGGTAGCTCTTCATGACCTCAGATTTGGCAATGGATTCTTAAACATGACACCAAAAGCACAGGGAAAAAAAGGAAAATAAAGAATTTGTGCATGATGAAAATAAAAAATTTTTCACTTTAAAGCAAACTAGCAAGAAAGTGAAGAGACGCCTACAGAAAGGAAAAAAAAAAACTTTCCGAATCATGTCTGATAAGGGACTCTTACCTAGAATATATAAAGAACACTTACAACTCAACAACGGAAGTACTGAATATAATCCAACTATAAATGGGCAAAATATTTGGATAGACATTTATCTAAAAAAGACTGTGGGGTAACAGTTTGGCAGTTACTTATAAGTTAAACACAGTTACTATATAACTCAGCAATTTCACCTCTGACTACATACCCAAAGAATTGAAAACAGGTATTTAAACGAAAACTTGTACATGAATGGGCATAGCAGCACTGTTCGTAATAGCCGAAAGCTGGAAATGACCCAAGTGTCTGTCAACTGATGAATGGATAAACAAAATGCAGAATGTCCATATAATGGGATATTATTTGGCCATACAAAGAACTGAAGTACTGATATATGCTACAATTTAGATTACCCTTGAAAACATCATGATAAGTGAAAGAAGCCAGCCACAAAAGCCCACATATATGATTCCATCTATACGAAGTGTCCAGAATAAGCAAATCTATAGAGGTAGGAAGTAGATTAGTGGTTGCTTAGGGCTAAGAGGAGTGAGAGGTTATAGTTAGGTACAGGGCTTGTGAGTTGACAAAAATGTACAACAATTGACTGTAGTGATGGTTGCACATATCTCTGAATGTACTAAAACCCTTTTTTTTCAACCTTACTGAGTTATAGTTGAGATACAGTACTGTATTAGTTTGGGTACAGCATAATGACTTAACATACGTATATTGTGAAATTAACCCCATAAGTTTAGTTAACATTCCTCACCTCATATAGTTACAAAAAAATATCTTCCCTTGTGATGAGAACTTTTACGATCTACTTTCTTAGTAATGTACAAATATATCATACAGCAGTGTTAACTATACTCACATTGTACATTACACTTTCAGTACTTTTTATGTTACAACTGAATATTTACACCTTTTGACCACTTTTATCCAATTCTCTCACCACTCAACCCACACCTCTGGTAACCAAAAATCTGATCTTGTTTTTCTATGAGTTTGGTTTCCTTCTTCTTCTTCTTCCTTTTTTTAGTTTAGTTTTTTTTTTATTCTACATATAAGTATTTGCCTTTCTCTGTTTGACTTATTTCACTTAACGTAATACCCTCTAGGTCCTTCCACTTTGTTGCAAATGGCAGGATTTTCTTCCTCTTCTGGGTGAATAATATTCAATTGTGTATGTGTGTGTGTGTATATGTGTGTGTGTGTATATATATATATATATATATATATATATATATATATATATATGGAGACTCAAGTCCTAGAAGAACCTGGCTTTCTCATATATATATATAAGTATATATACCTATATATACACACATATATATGTGTGTATATGTACACACACGCACATACAATATCCAGTTGTGTATACTGAATGTTGTATATATTTTGCCTGTCCATTTCATCTGTTGATGGATAGGTAGGATGTAAAAACCAATGAATTATACATTTTACAGTGGTGCATTATATGGCATGTGAATTGTATCTCAATAAAGCTATTATTTAAAAAAGAAAGATAGAGCTTCCCTGGTGGCACAGTGGTTAAGAATGCACCTGCCAATGCAGGGGACATGGGTTTGAGCCCTGGTCCAGGAAGATCCCACATGCTGTGGAGCAACTAAGTCCGCGTGCCACAACTACTGAGCCCACGAGCCACAACTACTGAGCCCATGTGCTACAACTACTGAAGCCCACACGCCTAGAGCCCGTGCTCCACAACAAGAGAAGACACCACAATGAGAAGCCAGCGCACCACAACAAAGAGTAGCCCCCGCTTGCCACAACTAGAGAAAGCCTGTGTGCAGCAATGAAGACCCAATTCAGCCAAAAATAAATAAATAAATAAATAAATAGTTAAAAAAAAAAAAGAAAGATAAAGGAAGAAAGGTGGAGAGGGAGGAAAGGTGGGAGAGAAGGAGGGATGGAAGAAGGAATAAAGAAAAAGGAATAAAAAAAAGGAATAAAGTAGTCTACATACTTATTGAGAAAATTAATGGAGAGAGGAGATTAAATTTTAAGATCTTCTTGCTATATTCCACAAAGGGATCTTGTGGGTTGTTGAGGGAATCAATGTTCACTCCAAATGCTGTGCCAGTAATCACATCCATGCTGTAGGCCCCAAAGAAGCTGAGTAGAGAAAGATATGAACAACTAAAATCAACACCTCTTTACTCTCCTTACCCAACACATATAACAAGAAGTGCATGTAAAATCAGATGCCCAGACAAGGCAGGTAGAGAGCCACACTCTTTCAGAACCACCTGTTGGTCCATGGAAGAGTCTATGCTACTATCACTCACACATGAGGTGTGTCTGAGGTGCCAGTGATGCAGCTGGCCCTGTGCCAGGAGGGCTGGGGACACTGAGGCAAGTTAGACGTCCCCCCACAAACTCGAGGAGCTCAGTCATAGAGGGATAGACACCCATAATCAGACAAAGTACAGTAGTGTGTTTTGACTACAGGCAATAATAAGTGTATAAGGACTGTGTCTGAGCATAACCAAGTGTATAAATTTAACACATCCTGGGGGAGTCAAGAAAGGGGACGTTGATCTGGGTCTTGCCTCACCATAAGAGTGTGCACTCAGAGCTGATTCCTCTTCAATGAATTACAGAACAGCAGCACCCTGTTCTGAGTTTCCAGGAACATCATCCCTCACTGTCTTACACCCCTGCTAAGGATCCTGAAAGACCCACACTTCCTCAACTCCAGTGGTCTGTGGTTGACCTGAGGGCAGACTCATTTCTGTGAAATGTAAGAACTAAAAATATTTCTAGTTAAAAAAATAATAAATTACTCCAAATTTGACTTAGGGAATCCCATAGCTAAGTGATCTTATGTCCTCAGTTTTCCCGGGACATTCTCAGCTTATACCTGTTGTTACAGCAGAATTTTTAAAAAAAATCTCAGTTTAGACAACAAATGCTATGATCACTCTACCCATAGCCTGTACAGGGCCTTCTCTCTTTTGAGGCTGAAGGAAGAACAAATGGTGGTTAAGAATTAATATTTAGCATTTTGCTCAGGAAAACTGTGAAGAGATTTAATTTGTTTCAAGTTCCATACCGTAACATTCCTGCCCAGTGCACTTCCTGCCAATATGTACGAAGAGCCTTCCCCACCTCCGCTCCACACCCTCTACACGCAATACTGTGCACAACAATGTTTCTCCTTTCTAAACTATGTGTTTTTGTCTTCCAGAATATCCAAAGTGACAGTTAAGCAGATAAGTTCATCCTGGCTCATGTACACAGGAGAAGACCCTTTCTCTCCCAGCTGCCCTGCTTTCTTTGGCGAGCCACCACTCATTCTGGGGTGGCCCACTGGAGTGGTACCACCACACACTTACTTCTGTCTGGTCACTACAGTAACTCAGCAGTGGGAATCTGGCTCCATGGCAGGCATCTGGAGGGTCTCAATGGAGCTCAGGTACCAGCAGCTTCACCCCTACTTACTCTTTCATGTTGATTGGCTTGCCTTTCCCTGCTTCCTTCTTCAGGTTCCTCACCAACACGTCTCCAATCTGGCTAATGATGGGGAACATCTAGATACAAAGTACAACATCACCTGAAGTTAAATGCAGACTCAAGTCCTAGAAGTACCTGGCTTTCCCAAGCATGGAGCAGGAAGTGGCATTTTATAAGGAATCTTAAAATGTCTCTTCTAGGAAGTAAAGATAAAAGACCATCATTAGAAAACTCAAAATCAGCAGACTTCTCTTTGGAAAGGGACTATGATCTTATTTTCTACCTGTCCCTAGAGTCATTCCTTAAGTTTCTAGTTGAAAGTCTTCTTCTTTTCTTACCTCCTTGAGCTTTCCGCTGGTGAAGGCTGGAGACAGCAACGATCGTAATCTCTTCCATTGTTCATCCTCAGACATAGAGATGGCATTTTTCAAAATTCCCATTGGACCAAAAGACTAGAGTCAAAAGCAAAACACAGAGTCTTACTGGCACTGTCCCAAGGTGATTGACCAGATCTGGGAGCCTATTCTTGAAGCTCCAAAGAAATAGCTATCTGGAGAGGGCAGAAAGCAGAAGCAAGAAGAACTACAATCCTGCAGCCTGTGGAAAAAAAACTACATTCACAGAAAGATAGACAAGATGAAAAGGCAGAGGGCTGTGTACCAGATGAAGGAACAAGATAAAACCCCAGAAAAACAACTAAAAGAAGTGGAGATAGGCAACCTTCCAGAAAAAGAATTCAGAATAATGATAGTGAAGATGATCCAGGACCTCGGGAAAAAAATGGAGGTAAAGATCGAGAAGATGCAAGACATGTTTAACAAAGACCTAGAAGAATTAAAGAACAAACAAACAGAGATGAACAATA